TATGTAAGTTTTCTACTCACATTGGTCGTTCAGACATGCACCTCCCGCCGTGGGAGCGCCAGATCAAGGTCATAATCGGGAGATTATGGTATTGTGTCAATGTATTGACGGAGTTCTTATTATATTACCAATATATTATTTAATAACATTAAAAGATATCAGGGTCGTAGACACTGTACTACTCGTTGTAACTGTACTACTGTATGTGTATATTGAAAGTGTATAATTAGTGCAAGTGTAAGTTAAGTATAAATGTAAAGCAATTCGAATTCAAGAATGTTCTGTACACGATCGCTTGTATATATTGTAATTATATTTTCACAAAATTGTATATATTCTTTTGAACAAGTTAAAAAAGTTTACTCATGGGTAATAAATCAGCTTATTTTAACTCTTCAATTACTAGTGTCGCTGATCAGCGAACACGCGAATGTAAACAAACAGCTAAAAATAGACCCAATTTGGAGATTTATAACTTTTCAGAAAATTGCTTGCAGACGAGTTTTATTCCTGATTACTTAACTTTAGTAGGTATACTTTCAAATTACATGCCTTTTGAACTTCAGATAGGTGCCACTTTTGAGCTATTTTAAGTAAAATATGAGCAATTTTAAGCCTCTCGTCGCCATCTTGAAAACATAGTTTCGTAAAACTATAAAAAAAAGTATTAAGCAAATAAAGTTGTTCAATTTCCATGTAAACGAGAGTATTAGTGTTAATCTTGCATGTGAACAGTAACTGAAGGGGATAAACGCATCACAACGTTTCTAAAAAATCAGATGAATTCTTGTAAAATTCCCCTTCATTTCCGGTCTGAAAATATTCTCGCAAGGTCAAATTTTAACATTGCTATAACTCCTATAAAACAGAAAGTTGAAACGTTCTGAAAGAAGCTCGATTAATATTGACCAAAGTCTAGTTCATATGCAAAATATGAGCTAAATCTATTTTTCCTTCCCCAAACCAGTGAGTGGATTTTACTGAGAGGCCCTCTTAAAACCCGTTCACTAAGCAACACTAAAACACCAGACGATACCAGTTCTCGGTATGTTGTTGATGGTGACTTGGAGTTTAAGGAGAGGCAAAATCTGATAAGGTGGGGATGATATCTTCGACCAAACTTGAGGGATGCCAGAAGTTTCTTCTGCTGTTGCCAGAACAAGTTCATATGGCGCGAAGTTTTAAGATCACTCTTATCCAAAATACTCAAGATGTCGTCTTCAAGAGTTTTATTGATCTCAATACTGTTAGAATAAATCTCCCTTTGCATGTTCACAAGCTGGCTCTCGAGATCTTTACACATTACACGTTGTTGCTGGATGGTGGCAATCAACCTTTCTTTGCTGCAGCTGACCAAAGGAGCTTTATCTTTAACAGCCGTTGCTTTCAGTGCAGATTTCAAAGGCACCTTTTTTTGTTTAGCTTCGAAAAGGCTCAAACAACTATGACAGGAATCTTGGTCTGCTAAATTGAACAATACTGCACAATTCTCAGACCTGGCAAACACCTTAACTTTGAATGGTGGACCATCATCACAATACAACTCTGGAGCAATGGGTACAGAGTGCTTGGTAACTTGCGAAATACCAACAATAGGATCAACTGCTTGTAAAGTTTCAGGCAAACTAGGACAAACAGAAAATGATTGGACTCATTTATACAATGATGGCGCAGGAATATCAAACAAAGAACGTTTATGTTCATAATAAATCTCATATTCTCGTTGACAATCAGTTTGGTTTTCGAAGCGGCCATTCAACTTCTTTAGCCTTGTTGCAACTATACAATAAAATTTCATCCGCTATTGACCTCAATGAATTTACAATTGGCATCTTCTTAGATCTATCCAAAGCCTTCGACACCGTTAACCATAGTATCTTGTTTGATAAACTACAGCATTATGGAATTCGTGGAGTAGCACTTGATTGGTTTAAAAGTTACTTTAGTAATAGACTCCAATTTGTTCAGTTCAATGGGGTGTACTCGAAAAAAAACTCTGTTTATTGTGGTGTGCCCCAAGGTTCAATACTAGCTCCACTTCTCTTTTTGCTTTATATTAATGACATTAATAAGGTCTCCAACATTGCTGACCTTATCTTATTCGCTGATGACACAAACCTGTTTTTCTCGCATAACAATTTGCCGTTCCTTATTGATCAAGTAAATGGAGAACTGGACAAGCTGACCGTGTGGCTATCAGCAAATAAACTATCAATTAATTTGAAGAAAACCAATTTTATGATTTTTAGACCAAGACAAAAAAAGTTTCATATCAATCCTAAAATAGTCTTAAATAGCTTTGAGATTGATATGGTTGATGAAGTTAGTTTTCTTGGAGTTATTTTAGACGCAAATTTAACGTGGAAGTCTCATATATCCCATGTATCAAGAAAAATGTCGAAATCCATTGGAATTATCAAGAAAGCTAGTTTTTGTCTTCCGACACGATCTTTAATATCATTGTACTACGCTCTCGTTTACCCATACATGCAATATTGTATCCTAGTTTGGGGTTCAACTTACCCTTCAAACTTAAATCGTATTGCTCTTTTGCAAAAGCGTATGATCAGAATTGTTTATAAAACCTCATATGATGCACACACATATCCCATTTTTAACGAGCTTGAGATTCTTCCATTTAACAAAATTTATTTGTTCCATTTAGGCTTGTTTATGTATCAGTTCTATAATTGTATGTTACCGTCTAATTTTGATGAGTATTTCACATGTGTTAACCAAGTTCACAATTATAATACGCGACAATCAAATTTGTATTTCCTCCCATTTTGTAGAACTAACCTGAGAAAATTTGCTATTTTTTACCAAGGTCCTAAATTTTTTAACTCCCTCCCCAAAAATATATATGATGCTTCATCCGTCTCCGGTTTTCGGAAAAAACTTAAAGAATATTTATTTAGACTTTAATTTTGTATTATTTAAACACCCAATCAATGTAACATAGTTTCTATCTATGCTTTGTCAAAAACCTGATCCCAATTTTTTGGTCTATTTTTCCTTTTCATCCAAATTTTGTTCGTTCGTTTGTTTGTTTGATTTACACATTGTATCTTGCTCGATATGTATTTACAGCTAACACTAAAATTTTGCTATATATGTATTACTGTAGTTTGATCTATAGGTGGCCCATATTACATAAGCCCTTATGGTTTCTTTTGGGTTTCCTTGCCTTACAAAATGTAATTTTTTTTTTCTCTTTGATATTGTAAACATTTTTTTTATTGGCTAAAATAAATTGACTTGACTTGACTTGAAAACCAACCAAAGACAGCTAAGGAAAACCCAACACCAGAATCCACTCTTATTGAATATAGTGGTAGTGCATGTTCAGAGTCAAAGTAATCCACCGTAAAATCATGTTCGGTTTCCTTTCTAGACCACCCAGATAGTTTTACACGAGAAATTACACTTTTAAAATCGTCTAGATATATACCTTAGATTTTATGCCACTAGTGGAGGGCTCAATGGGCGTTTCATGCCGATATACACGATTTCTTGTTATTTGTCTTAACCACTCTTCACGAGTTTTCCGAGATAACTCGTCTTCCCCTTTAGGCAACGCAAAAATACTTATTCCAGTAGTTTTTCGACTAGTATTGCAGCCACATATGCTGCAGTTAGCGCCCGGCATAAGCAACAGTGGCGAAACGAAGCAAGAATATTTTGAAATACGATATGGCTCCATATTGTTTTTATTCATCAATGGGCCATTGATGCACCTTCGTTGTGACGTCACAGCCATAAAACAGAACAATGACATAATTCGTCACGTGACCCAGCTTTCCTAACCATGTCTGTGTTTCTATTACTATGCATATATCGACAGCACAAGACTTCTGAACTTTCCTGGAAATGATTATATTTCCCTGTCTTAAGTGTATTCAATATAAATTTGGTTGAAAACGACGGTTACCTGAAATACATAAGCGACCTTAAGCATGTAGGACGGGAACGCAACGGCGACGGCAAACAAACTTGTTGAACCAAATGATTGCGGAAGAAAACTTGTCGTCCATTATCTATCGTATGAAAATAATACAGTTTGAAGATCAAAATTAACATTGAATTTATAATTGAGAAAAGTTCTAGGACCCAATTTAAAATAGCAGTTGTCCCAGCTTGAAATGTAAGCGTTGTTACAAGACGTGATAATCTGTATTTTGCCGTTGTAAAACAAAACGTCCAAAACGTCCGTGAGATTTCAATTATTAATTTCTGCTCATTTTCTCGCACTAATATGATATTCATGATTCTTCTGTGTTGGTGTAATGTACTCAGGTGAGTATGATGCTTGTGATGTTACTCTGAGTGTATATCCACACCGGGCAAGCTTGAAAAATATGCCTGACCACGGTGGGAATCGAACCTACGACCTTTGGAATACTAGCCCAATGCTCTGCCAACTGAGCTACGCGGTCTGGTCGGTTCGAGTATGTGATATTTCGGAACAGAATCTAGTTCCTTCGATATCAATGTTATCTAATAATAATCATGATTTTTCTGTGTTGGCAGAAAAATCATGACACCAACACAGAAAAATCATGATTATTATTAGATAACATTGATATCGAGGGAACTAGATTCTGTTCCGAAATATCACATACTCGAACCGACCAGACCGCATAGCTCAGTTGGCAGAGCATTGGGCTAGTATTCCAAAGGTCGTAGGTTCGATTCCCACCGTGGTCAGGCATATTTTTCAAGCTTGCCCGGTGTGGATATACACTCAGAGTAACATCACAAGCATCATACTCACTTGAGTACATTTCATCCACACAGAAAAATCATGATTATTATTAGATAACATTGATATCGATGGAACTAGATTCTGTTCCGAAATATCACATACTCGAACCGACCAGACCGCGTAGCTCAGTTGGCAGAGCATTTTGCTAGTATTCCAAAGGTCGTAGGTTCGATTCCCACCGTGGTCAGGCATATTTTTCAAGCTTGCCCGGTGTGGAGTAACATCACAAGCATCAATATGATATTATTAGCTGTTCTCGTTGCACTTTCGTTCTGCTGTGTTGAAGTTCTTAATAACAGTAGTTCTTTATGATTGTAAAAGTTTAAATTTTATGGCGGTTTCTTGACACGTCCCCGTACTAGATTAAGCTTTGCTTCAGTTCGCTATAAAATTTTAGAGAACAGTAAGGAGCCACCTAAATGCGCCCTAATTTAAGTTGCACTTAGGGACCGGTCATAAATTAAAAGGGGGGAGGGTGGGCTGGGAAAATCATATATTTGGTGTCTGCACTTTTGGTAGCCCACCCCTTAATAGGTGTATGAAAATTTGTAGCCCACCCTTAAATTGGTGCTGAAAAATGAATGACCCACCCCTTTTTCGGACAAGAACCTTCCCCCCCGTGGACAACTTTTTTAGGTAAAAAAATTTTCCGGACGAGTACATTGCAATTGCTTTCCAAAGACTTTATCTTAATTTTTCATACCAAATTTCGGTACTTAGCCCAAAAAAACAGGTATCTTGTTTTTTTGCGGAAATTTTTAACACAAAAAAATGACTGGGGCCCAATCTTCTGCATATTTTTACATGGCCCACCCTTATGATTGCGCTTAACTTTCGATGACCCACCCCTTCAACCGTGCTCAAAAATAGTGACCCACCCCCTATTTTTCCCAGCCCACCCCCATTTTAATTTATGACCGGGCCCTTAATATAATGTTGAAACATCTACCAAGGCTCTCTATATATTAATTAGCGAAAAATCGAGTTGGCAAACGAATGCAGGTCAGCCGTAACATTGGATTAAGGGAGACATTTAACGTTGAAAGATGTAAAGGCAAGATTGTGGCTGCATCTGATTTCCTTTTTTCGCACGAGGGTTGGCTTGTTGTTCTGACATAATGATGAGTTCTGTCGATTGTCAGCTTAAGTTCCGAGACTGTATAATAATTATTTTAAGACAGACTATAGATTTTGCAGTTCGACTGTAATATTCTGCAGATAAACGCATATAACTCGAACCGTAACGCAATAACAGTGTCTTGAAGTAGTGAATATGCACCCCCAGATGTTATCCTTTTGTAGGCATTTTGATCAGCTAAAACTGACGAAATTTTTATGTTTTCTACTTTTAACAGCTGACAAGTTAAATGAACTTACAAACAGAAGCAGATTGGCTTTTGGATCGTTTGTTGACAAAGTCACTGCACCGTACACACGGCATGAAAAGTAAGTAAACAAGTATACATATTGTCAGAGAAAAAAGAATATATAAAGCTTTGTTATATATAGAGTTTCCGGATCACTTTTGCTGGTGGAAAATTTTCAAATTTTTATGACGGGGAAAATTTTTTATTAATAGTGTCATTTTGGGAATGGGGAAAGTGCAAAGTTTGAAACGAATCATGTAAAAAGTTACACTCTTTGAAAGAATTCATTCCATTCGTCATTTTAATATCTTCTATTTTATATATAGTTTTATAATATAGCATTTGTAAATTCTGAACGCTGATTGGCTAAGAGCCGTGTTGATATAACCCAGTGTCAACAGGGAAACGTCGGAAAATTTCTTTCTTTAAATTTCTTTGTGCTATATTATAAAACAAATTTATAATATAGCATTTGTAAATTCTGAACGCCGATTAGCTAAGAGCCGCGTTGATATAACTCAATGTCAACACGGAAACATCGGAAAATTTCTTTCATTATGTTTCTTTGTGCTATATTATAAAACAAATATAAAACATTTTTTCCGTATTGATATACAGTTATATCAACACTCGTGGAAATTGGGAAAACTCGAAATTGTGTGAAAACACTCCGCCCTTCGGGCGCAAATTAATCCCGAGCCGACGCGTCGTGCGAGGGTATACTAATTCCCCCCGGCTATTTACACCCGGAGAAACGAAAGCATTAGCGGAGTCTAAAGTTCATCAAATATCGCGGGCGTGGGTCACCAACGGTGTTGGGTGGGTGGTCATCCTCACTGACCTCAAAAATATGGCGGACTGTCATGAATAGCGGACACTGATTGGTCTAATTTAAAGTTTGCATTATAACGACTGCATGACGACAGCGAAATAGCAAACATTTCTTGATTTGATGATTGATAAATTTCTTGCAAATATATTTCATTTTTGCTCGTATTTCTGCAAGATTTTGTAAATTTCAAGAAAGAAAGGGCGAAAGAATCGGCTAAAAGAAGGGAGCCAACGTTAACGAAGGTAAGTTTGTTTTAAATATTGATTTTATAATGGCTTTAAAACCCGACGGCTTTTGCGTATATCAAACAACTAAACAAGACATACAAGAGAGCATATAATTTCAGTGTATCTTTAATATTGATTCCCTTTTTTATTATATTGAATTTTTTTAAATAAAAAAGAAAGCAAAGTTATTTGCATGCGAGAATTTGAAATCATTTTATTGGAAACTCAAAGTTTATCGATAAAGCCATTTAATTAAAGAATATAAAAGGCAGTTTAG